ATTGAACAAAGTTGCCTGATACTCAGCAGCCAGACCCCCAGGAGCCCAGAGTCAACAGGCTTATCCATGCTTCCAGGGGCAGCTGAACTTGAAAAGCAAAGAAACACTTTCTTTTGAGTGGAAGCTCCAGGGTATGGAATTCATGGGATCTGTGAGCTTCCTTGACGCAAACAGAATTATTTGCTTTTTGCTTTCAGTGGACTTGGTTTTTCCTTCTGGCATAATGTGTTTGGGCTGAAGATTTTGTGGCTGTGTTGTTCCTCTTTGCTTTGATCATTGTTTCTTAAGCACTGATCTAACATGGTTTTGTTTCTGAACCTGGTAAGCCCTTTGGATCCTAAAGCTTTTCCAAGCACATCAGGGGAAATGATTTAGATGTGTGAGCACTTATATAAATTCTATACTCATATTTCTTCATATAAATGCAACAGCTGGTGACTCCTTTTTGAAGGGTGATCTTCTCTCCCATCTTACTGTGAGGAAAAAATGCAATGTTCTTTGCTGTGCGAAGGCAGCCTGTCCACTGGTCTGAGTGAGTGTGGGAGCCACAGATCTTCCAGCCTTCTCTCATCCTTCGTCTTCCCCGTCTCATTCACAAGACAGCCCTCAACTTGGCGTGAACTGTGCTTGACACAGACACATTGTTCCTCTGGATTAACTTTGGCTTCAAGTTGTCAACATACTAGCTCTTATACAAGATGAGAAAGTTAATTTTAGAACTGTACCTGGGAAATTTATTCTAGGAAACTAGCTTGGAAATGTGGGAAATGACGATTTTGTTTGAAATTCAGAATGTACATTAGTGAAATAAAGGCTAGGGAAATTCCTACCACAATGAAATCTCTTGGATGCTTTACATTTAGTTTCCAACTGTACTTTATTTGTTTGTTTGTTCATTGTTTTATTTGTTTGTTTTAACCAAGACCTGCTGATCTTGAACCAGACTCCATTTTTAGTGAACCTTGAAGAAGCCCATGGTGAATGCTTTGAATGTCTGTGCTAATGTCACACATGGCTTTAGTCCATTTGCCTATACTGAGACATTCTGGGATGTTCTGGAAGTCAGTCTTTTGATCAAGATTGATTTTTATGTGTATGAATGTTTGCCTGGGTGTATGTATGTGCAGCACATGTGTGATGGCTAGAAAAGGGAGTAGGTCTCCTTGGAATATGAGTTATAGATAGTTGTGAGCTGACATGTGGGTGTTAGGAACCAAACCCCAGTGCTCTGCAAGAGCAGCAAGTGTTCTTAACCACTGAGCCATCTCTTCAACCTCAGAAGTATTTAATAAACTAACTGATAGACTGGTGTTAAGGAATTGTTCATTACAGTCTACTTTTCTTTTTATGAAGACTTGGGGAGTATGTATCCATATCTTATTATCAGGGAAACAATGATGTTTTTTTTTTTAAAAACAAGCATGCTTTTGTTTTATTTTCATCCTTTAAGTTACTGAGTCGAACTGACATTCTCAACATACATCATGCTTACTAAACTGTTTCGTGGCTCAATTCATCCCAAACATTTCTTTGCTTAACGCTCTCATTTATTTCATTATTATTTTCTTATTTTTGTGTATCCATTTCATAGACTGGAATACATTTGTATTATAACAGGTGGGTATGGAATGTCTTCTGCAGGTTTATGGGCTTGAGTATTTGTTTCCTGCCTTGTTTTAAAACCTCTGTGGGGTGGGGTCTAGATGGAGAAAGTGGATCTTGGGGAGGGTTGGCCATGAGACTTGTGGTGCAGACCCTTTTTCTGTCCTACCTCTGCTTCTACTTCCTGGACCACCATGCCTTCCCTGACATGATAGACTTGGTTCCCTCAAACCATAAGTCAAAATAAATCTTTGCTCCTTGAAGTTGATGCTGCCGGGGATTTTATTCCCTGAAACAAGAAAAGCAGCGCAGGCATAAAACATCAACTTGTATTCATACTCTTTGTTCAAATAAATGGATGAGATAATTAGAATGTCCAGTTTAAACTCGTTTCAGTGAGATAACACAAATAGCTGCTTCAAAAATCGTCAAAACCCAGAAAATACTGATATTCACTAGCATACAGCCTTATCTTTTACAATTAAATCTACGATCCAATTCAGCTTAATGTTTACATATAATGTGTATGATGCCTTGTGTCAGTTTCCCATACACCTATCAGTGGCTCCAGAAGAACTTATCGAGAAGATTTTCTTTCCCATTTAATTATGCTGGCACTTTCAGTGGACTAAATCAGATAATATTCTACGGAATCTGTGGTAACATTTTTATAGATAGGATTGAGGATCTGGTGATGAGGAGGTTATCCTGACTAGGTGGACCCTAAGCCATCCTAAGTGTTCTAAGAAGGAAATAAAAGAGCAAAGACATTGAGAAGGCAGGTGGAAGGCTGAAGATGAGAACACAGGGAGGTGTTTGAACATGCTATATTCACTGTAAAGGAGGCTGTGACGCAATGGGCTAGCTCCAGAATGCGGGAAAAGCAAGAAAAGATGCCTTGTGAGTTCTACGCTGATGAACTTATATCTTGATTTTAGCCTAATGGTATGCACATTGGATTCTGGCCTTCAGAATTTTGTTATAGGAATTAAGGTAAGCAAAAACATTTGGTTATGGTATAAACTGCAGAAGAAGAAGAAGAAGAAGAAGAAGAAGAAGAAGAAGAAGAAGAGGAGGAGGAGGAGGAGGAGGAG